CATTTGTCTGTGTATATATATATATATATATATTTTGTTCGTGTTATTTTACGCGAGAACCTTCTCAGTGCTCGTGTAAAATCACGAAAGCACAATTTTTTAAATTTTTTTTTTTATTTAACTTTTTTTTAAATAATATATATTTTGCTTACTTTATTTATTTGAATACAGGAAGTATACATAAATGTTGATGAAGATACGGAAACATCCGAGTTACATGATTTTAGTCAATTTTTCATAATTTCTACTGCATTCGAGAATAAAGATGCACTGGTTGAGTGGGCGATGGGGGGGGCCGTCAGTCATGGTCATGAGATTAGACGTCAGTCTTTCCACGAAGGCAGACAATATCTGACGTGTAAAAGGGCCTATAAAGGACGAGGAAAAAATATCGGAGTCGTAACAAGCTGGAAGTCTGGTTCAATAAAGTGCATGTGTCCTTTTGCGCTATGGGGTAAAGAGGGCCGAGATGGATTATGGCGTCTTACCATAAAAAATGGCAATCATAATCATAATCCTCATAAATATTCACAAGGAATACGCTCGTTAAATCGTTTGACTCAAGAGCAACGAGAAGTTACAAAGCTACTAAAAAACAGTCATGTGAAGCCGAAGGAAATTTTGCATCACTTGAGACAGACTAATCCGAATACGTCTGCGGCTTTGAGGGACGTGTACAATGAATCTGCTAAAACTAGACGAGAGAAAATGAAAGGAAAAATAGTTGTGCAACATCTGTGGCACAAACTTAGTGAAAGTGGATACAGCAAATGGCATCGAACAAACTCAGCTGGCGATACAGTGCAAGACGTTATGTTTGCGCACCCCCATTCAATCAACCTTTTGCAATTATTTCCATACGTTATACTGATGGATTGCACTTACAAGACCAAGAGGTAATACTTATTTAAATGTGAAATTTTAATTTATTATATTATATTTACGAGTTGATAAAATTATAATTACCTTCTTGTAGATATGAAATGCCTTTTTTGGAAATTATTGGGATTACTCCGGTAGGAAGGAACTTTACCATCGCTGTTGCTTTTATGTCACGTGAAGATGAGGACACTTATGCATGGACTTTGAGATGTTTGCGAGATATATTACCGTCAGAAGCAGAACCGGAAGTGATACTGACAGATCGTGAGTTGGGCCTATTGAAAGCATTGCCTAACGTGTTTCCACAGTCGAATCACATGTTATGTTTATATCACATAAACAGAAATGTTGAGGCAAATGCGACGAAGTTCTTGGGCAATAAAAATCACGGTGTATTTTTCCGGAGGACAGTCTGGGAAAAGTTAGTGAATTCAGAGACTGAGGAAGAATATGGGTTCAATTATAGCGAGATGGTGAGTTTGTACGGGGAATATCCCAAGCTGATAACATACGTCAATCACACGTGGTTGATTTACAAGGAGAGATTTGTAAAGTATTGGACTAACAACATCCTCCATTTTGGTAACACGACGACAAACAGGTATACAACATGTTTTTTTTTTTAATATTTGTTATGTAAAATGTTACATGTATGTATTAATTGATTGTTTTTTGAAACAGGGTGAAGAGTGCACATCGTGCATCGAAGAGTTGGTTGCAAACATGGACTGGAGCTATTGATACTGTGCAAAATCAACTTGATGCGCAAGTTCACCTTCAAGTTAATGAATTGAAGGTAAAAAACGAGAGAAGCAGAACAGTCAGAATGTACGGTACTTCATATCCCTGTTTTGGTGCTTTGATATGCAACGTATCACATAATGCATTGGACCTTTTGGATGAAGAGTTGGAGAAATTGCAACAGAATCCGGACAGATGTAACTGCTACCTAAGTAGAACACATGGTCTCCCGTGTGCGTGTCAAATTGCAGTTAAAATTGCGGAAGGAGATACTTATTACCCCCAACAGATACATCCATTCTGGAGAACATTAACCGTTGAGCCGATGACAATTCCATACCAAGATGAGGAACCGTTTGATCGCGCAATTGCAATTCAGAAAGCTCTTTTTGACGAGTTCAAGAAATTATCGAAGATGGATTATATGTCCCAAAAATATGCAGCCAACTATTTACGGGACATAAATAATCCTGCCTCAACACATTTGGAAGAGCCGTCATTTGTGAATGCCAAGAGACGACCCAAGAATAATGCGATGAAGCATGATTTGTCCGGATATGAGCACATCATGAATAGAAAAATCGATGTTAAATCATCTCCGGGGTCAAGGGGGCGCAAAATCCCGACTAAAGAACCGACTGAAGGAACGCCAGGATCGAAGCTCAAAGGTCGTGGTCGCGGACGTACTAAATCTACGGAAGAAGCGGTTGTAACTGCCGGAGATTGGGTCGATTTCTTTTCCTTTCTTCCTTCATTTCTCGCACAATCTATAGCCTCATATGTTAATGTGAGGGCCGATGGTAATTGTGGGTACCGATGCATTGCCAAAATTATTTATGGAAGTCAAGAAAGATGGCCACAAGTAAGAACAGACTTGGTTGCAGAGTTTATGGAGCGTCATCATTTATATGCTGATATGTTTGGTGGAGATGAAGAGGGTCGTAATGTAGTCGTTGATCATATTCTGACATGCAGTCATGAAAGCGGGCCAGCGCCACAGACCAAATGGATGTCAACAGACATGGGACTGGCAATTGCTACAAGATACAACGCAATGGTGATAATATTCACTGAGTTCGGTAGTTTTACTTATCTACCTCTAGTTGGGAATCCCGCGTTATCAAATATTATTCCTATGTCGTTACATAACTATCATTTCATGATTCTTCGAGTACCAGTTTACTGCCCTCTACCTCGTCTCCATCCTCAGTGGAGGTATTACGCAGCTCCCAATTTACTCGCCTTACAAGATTTTTACGCTGATCGACTAGCTTTGTGGACGACGTTAAGTACTAGGCATAGGTAGATTTGGCGTATTTTCTTATGTTTTTGTATGTCGAACTTTGTTATTGTACTTGGATATTGAACTTATCTATAGTATTTGGATGTTGAACTTTGTTATTGTATTTGGATGTTGAACTTATCTATGGTATTTGGGTGTTGAACTTTGTTATTGTATTTGAATGTTGAACTTTGTTATTTGGATTGTGTTTCTATATTTTGTAAAATTAAAAAAATAAAATTATATATACATCTACTCGCGTGATTTCTCGCGAACAGGGATGAATTACCATTATTGGATAAATGTTTTGAGATATATCATAGTCTAATATTTATTTTTTAGTGTGAGCACCAAATTCAAAATTTCTAGGATTTCAAAAACATATCCAATAATTCTAATTCATCCCTAATTTTATCAAAGGTGTAATCTGAGTCGTCCATCTCATATTTAAAATGCAAAATAGAAAATAGAGTAATTTTTTGACACAATAAAAATAGAAAATTGAGTAATCGTTCCAAACACAATCAAAATAGAAAATTGAGTAATCGTTCAAAACAGTAAAATAGAAAAACAAGTAATTGTTCCACACAATCTAAATAGAAAAACGAGTAACAATCATCCTAGTACAAAACCAATGAAAATGGAAAACAATAGTCAAAATTAAAAACAACCGTCATAACCATCCTACTGAATAACCCTCGGCCCCCTACCCCTAGTCCTCGGTCTCCCACGACCCCTCCACTCCCGGGTACAAGATGGAGATACTGAGCATCATCATCAAGTAATTGTGGCTGGATTGACATAAATTGTTCGCATCAAGCCCATTTTGTTCGTACACGATCGGAAATAGGAGACGAACTATCTCGTTCGCACGCGAGTAAAATAGATCTCCTCGCGTGTTTTCACACGAGCTGCAAAAAAAAAAATTAAGCTCGTGTGATTTTATGAGAACTCGATGAACTGAGCTCCCGTGGTTTCACACGAGCACAAACTCCCTGTTCGCATAATAACACACTATCTCAATTTTTTTTTTAATTTTTTTCAATAAAAAACATACGAATTTAAATAAAAAAAAAATTACATTAATCTACTCGCGTGGTTCTACACAACTCCACTGTACTCGTATAGAATGACGCGAGTAAAACAGAATGCTCCGTTTTAAAAAAAAAAATTCAATAATCGTAATCTACGTAACGAAACAATCAAAAAAATGTAAGAATTACCTCCGATTTGTTATCGTCTCGGTCGGGATCTGAAATCGAAGTCCGAAAGCTTGAGAGAGTTTTTGTGGAAATTTACCTTTTGATTTTTCAAAAATGGTAAAAAAAGTGCCTGCACGATTAAATTGTGCCAGCACAAATCATTTCAGTTTTTCTTGTCTAGCATAGAACAAGCGTTAATAAAAAAAATTAATTTTGTTCACGTAGTAATTGAATTTTAATTTTCTTCGTTTCATCTTAATTTTTTTGTTTTTTTAAAATAACCCAATGCATTGTAATTAGTACTTTAACATATTCAATCAACATTTTTTCACAATAAAGAGTAATTCTTTATTTAATTACAAAACAAATATGATCCTATTCGGATCAAATCAGAAATGATTCTAATTAATGTGGATAAAATTGGTTGTGATAAAAGGAGGAAATTAATTCAATATAATCTTAATTTTTTTAGTCAACTCCATCAATATTTATTTCATATATGTATTATATAATTGTATTTCATTTATAGATAAACATCGTATGTATATTAGTGACATCATCAATATATTCATATATACAATTATTTTAAATAATATAATACATGAATTGCTATATAAAATATAATAGAATATCACAGTGTGTGAGAGATTAGTGCAATAAAAAAGAGTTTTTTGTACTTGAATTTTACATAATTTGTTCGTTGTTAGCTATTGGAAAGAATCCAACCACTTCATAATTTCTTGATACCAATATGCTCTTGTTTTTGTGTTTGTGCACAGTGACAATAATAAAAGATGTTCATAAATAAAATATGAACAATATGAAAAGAAAATCGCAGACGATGCAAAGGAATCCATCCAGGCATGCGTCTCCGAGTTCAACAACTTCATTACTGTCGAGGCGAACAACATATGCCACCGCGACTACCGAAGAACAGTCACGCCGGAGGACGTGTTGGCGGCGATGGCGTTGTTGGGTTTCGGCGACTACATAGAGCCCCTCATCGTTTTCCTCAACAAGCATCGAGCCCATCAGGACCTCGAGCGCGGCTCCATGAATCAGTTGGCGCAATTCGTTAGGCGCGACGACGACAATGCATATATGTCGTGCAGCTGTGGCCGTGGAGAAGGCTCCTCCGACAGCCGCGAGTTTGATCTGTTTCATAAATTTTAATTAATGCAAGTGTATTGTGATATAAATGCACCAAAAAATTATAGACAAATTAAATACTCTTTTCTATTTGTACCTTTTTATTTAGTTTACTTATTATTATTTTTATGGATTGTTAGAGATTTTTCTTTGCATTTAAGAATTGTTTTAAATTTCTATTTTCTAATATTCAATGATTTCATTATAATATGTTTCTTTACAAAAACATGACTATACAATATAGTCAATATCGTGATACGATAATTTTTTTATAGAAACGATATAACTCAACAATCGTGCGACCCAATAGGAAATTTATGATATTTTTTAGGGGGTTATTTGTGCGATTTCATCATATTTTGGGATGATTTTGTCCGATTTTCATCATATATGTGGTGATTTGTGCGATTTTTATCACATTTTGGGTGATTTATGTGATTTTCATTATATATATAAATATATATAACGAGAAAAATATATATAATGAGAAAAATACAGTTTACGTTCCTCAAGTTTGCACCGTATTCACATTTGGTCCCTCATGTTCACAAAAAGCACATTTGGTCCCTTATGTTTCAAAAATTCAACACTTTTAGTCCTTTTAGTCAATCTCCCGTTAAAACTAACGGAATCAAGCGTGATCCCGTCACTGCCTTAACTAACTGACTAAAGGTAAATTGACGGAAATGACCAAAAGTGTTAAATTATTGGAACATGAGCGACCAAATGTGTTATTTGTGAACATGGGTGACCAAATATGAAATCGGTGCAAATTGAAGTATGAAAACTGTAATTTCCCCATTTTACTATTAATTAATAAATAATTTGAATAATATTCTATTCCAAATAATTATCAATGTCACAAAATATTATGTTAATAACAATATAACTATCATAAATAAATTAAAATTAGATAGAAAAATTAATACGACGCGGTTGCACGCACCTTGTTAGTATTTGAAAATTTATGAAAGTTTTTGAAACTTTAAATATTAAAACTCATGTGGTTTTCAAAATTTTCTTACCTTTCGGAATTGAAATGAATTTCTAAATTGCGAAAATTTTGGAATTGAAATTGGAATTAGTTTTTTACTTCAAAAAAAAAATGGAAATTTTCCAAAAATGTTAACTTCGATCCGTTCCATCCGACTTCGCCCCTGTTAAATACCAATATTAACTAATTTTAGAAGTTCATTTCAAATTTTCAAAAGTTCACTATCATCGTTCAAAATCTATTATCATATTTTTGTTCATAAGTTTATTGCCAAAATTTTTAGTCTTACCGAGAAACGTCGTGGTTTCGAAGTGGAAGAAGACCGCCCATGGAAAAGCACCTTTGTGGAAGAAGTTCGGGTGGCTTCCACCATTGGAGATTTCATCACAGTAACGCAAGTTCTAGCCGCCGCTCTAACACAGCGAATGACTAGTTTTGTGATTTTCGCCGCCGACCTGAGATTGCACGACGGAGAGAGAGAGAGAGAGAGAGAGAGAGAGAGAGAGAGAGAGAGAGAGAGAGAGAGAGAGAGAGAGAGAGAGAGAGAGAGAGAGAGAGAGAGAGAGAGAGAGAGAGAGAGAGAGAGAGAGAGAGAGAGAGAGAGAGAGAGAGAGAGAGAGAGAGAGAGAGAGAGAGAGAGAGAGAGAGAGAGAGAGAGAGAGAGAGAGAGAGAGAGAGAGAAGATTACCAAATAATATATTTATGTTCAATTACAATATAAAATCAAGGGGTGTTGCTAAGATGCAAAAATAGAATGCACTTAAGGAATGTAAATGTGTTTTGAGGTCTTTGAGATATACCATTGTCCAATATTTGTTTCTTAGTGTGAACACCAAATTCAAAATTTCTAGGATTTCAAAAAAAAAACATTATCCAATAATTCTAATTCATCCTTAATTTTATCAAATGTGTAATCTGAGTCGACCATCTCAACCATAAGGGTGACATGCTTTCTTAATTTATCTTATCATACATGATTTATGTTTATTGTGGTTTACATCTCTCGTTTGATCTGCAAGCTATACTGTACAAGAACAGAGGTTCATCCAGTGCTCTTATATGATTGTGTATTTTTTATTATCTAAAAAATACTGATAAACTATAAAAAGTAAAAATAAACAAATAAATAAATCGTCTAATATCAATTATTTTTTAGGGGAACTACATATTACCCAAGGAAGATGACTTATTTGTAATCCTATTCAAATCAAAATGGTCATACCAAAAAACTCATCTCTTTGTCTCTTGCCCAAAATGCCCCTCACAATATAATTAACATCAATTTCATCCTTAATGTCCCAACTTAAGAATATTGCATATTGACCCCAAATTTAGCAAATATATCACATTAACTATTCGAATTTCAAATATATCACATTAACTTTAAATATTGTAAACCTTAACTATGCAAATTTTATGTACATAATGTAAAAAATTATGTAGATTCCTTAAAAAACACAAATCTACTTCAAATACTTCGAACATAAAATATACTATATATCCAGTTAATGAAGACATTCCCGTAAGTCAAACTTTACGAATTCCTTTTTAGTTTTCATCGATCTTGTCTCCATTTCAATGCAAATCGAGTAATAACTAGAAAAGCTGGTTCTCCTTCTTGATCGACCAGCAATTTCGACAAACTTATCGGATCCCATTCTTCTCTTTTACCGCCACAATCGTTTGGCAATTCCGGCAGACTTTTCGGACGCCATTTTTTCCGATTTTAGAAATTATAATTTGACAGTTCTGACAGAGTTACCGTACGCCATTCTTCTTCATCGCTGTCCTTAATTTGCAAGCTCACTTGCTCCAAATCTTGTTTACATAACTCATTGTCTTTTTCTCCAAGAACCTCCATCTACATTATAAACAATGCCTATATCATCTTTCCGACGATTACATAGACAAAAATTGCAACGGTCCAAAAAAAATATAGAATTAACAACCAACTTGCAAAAAATGATGGAATTATATGGATATGAAGTAACCGATACAAGAACCACCCGGGAAGCTCTAACACAGAAAGTGCTTCGAAGGTTAAATTCAACACACACTCAGACGCTCGGAGAAGACGAAGATAGACAACACAATATCAGCTGCCATCTCCATACTCAAACTTAGTATATATATAACCCTAATAATAGAAAGTGTTGGATAGAAATAGAAAACGTGAGAATGAAACACGACTCTAAGTTGTTGAGTATGAGCTGGAAGTCAGCTCCTCGGTTGCCGCGTGTCGTTCCCTCATTCGCCGTTACAAAGTAAATAATATAATAAACGCTACTGCTACTACTAAAAGAAACGCGTACATGAAATGCGTTTTGACTCAATACGACTTTACCCTACAAAAGTAATTATAACTATGTAATTATCGAACGTAATTAAGATGCATGGGCTGAGCTATGCATGGGCTGAGCTCTTCTTCTTTCTTAATGTGGATGCCATTTTTCTTGCACGTAACAATTCCCTCTTCTCAAAATGTCCTTGTTCTCAAGGAAAAATGATGGATAATGCCTCTGAAAATCTTCATAGTCTTCCCATGTGGAGTCTTCCTCTGCCATGTTGAATGATTTAATTAATAGTTGAGTTGGTGCTCGGTTGTTGCGCTTAACTATCCTGCAATCAATAACAAACTGTGGTTCAAGTATAATGTGCCCGTGTGCAGTGATTGAAGTGGGGAGGTGTTTTTGACTGATATGTGTGCCTATTTTCTTCTTCAATTGAGAGACATGAAATGTACGATGAATCTTAGAGCCTTCTGGCAATTCCAGTGTATATGCAACCTCTCCAACTATATGAATCACCTTATAAGGACCAAAGTATCTTGCTGACAACTTATGATAAGTGTGACCCTCACTGATTGTTGTCTATACGGCTGCAACTTCACAAAAACCCAATCTCCTTCAGCAAAATATCTCTCACTCCTCTTCTTGTCTGCATGCACTTTCATTCGATTTTGTGCTTTCTGTAAGTGATCCTTTATAATTCTGAGTGTAGCTTCCCTATTTTGTAAGCTTCTGTCCACCATATCATTGAGTGACTCCATGGGTGAGTAAGGTAAGTGCAAGGGAGGTTTCTGCCCAAACATGACTTTCATAGGATGTGGTATGAATAGCTGAGTGGTAGGTGGTATTATACCACCACTCTGCCAATGATAGCCAATTGATCCATTCTTTAGGTCTGTCTCCAGTCATGCACCTCAGATAAGCTTCTAAATATTTGTTCACTACTTCTGTTTGTCCATCTGTCTGAGGGTGGTAAGCAGTAGAAGTGTGTAACTGAGTTCCCTGCATTTTGAAAAATTATTGCCAGAAGTTGCTCATGAAAATGGGATCTCTGTCACTCACAATCACCTTAGGAATCCCATGTAATTTGTACACATGATCCATAAAAACTTGGGCCACTAAACTTGCTGTGTATGGGTGTTTGAGTGCTATGAAATGTGCTCATTTGCTTAATATGTCTACCACCACCAAAATAGAATCCTTTCCTTCTGAGCTGTGTAATCCACTGATGAAATCCATGGAAATTTCCTCCCAAATTCTATTTGGAATAGGTAAGGGTTGTAACAATCCTGGGAAGGCCACTGTCTCTCCCTTGTTCCTTTGACACACATCACAGTTTTGAATGAACTTGTAGACATCAGATTTAAGACCCTTCCAATACAACAATTGTTTGAGTCTATGTAATGTACTATGAATGCCAGAATGTCCCCCAACTGAGGAAGCATGGTAGTGGTGGAGGATGAGTTGTTTCAAATTTTCTTGGTTTCCCACCATGAGCTTACCCTTTCTGAATAACAGATTGTTATTCCAAGTAGAAGATGCCCTCTAATTGGTCCCATTCTGTATAGCAGTGATTATTTTCTCCAGTGTAGGGTCCATTCTATAAGCAGCCTTGATCTCTTCTACAAATGGACATTGGTGCAAGGTTAAAGTGAGTAATGTGGGATGTGTCTTTACTCTAGATAGACCATCAGCCACTACATTTTCCTTTCCCTTCTTGTACATAATGGTAAAGTCATATC